TTCTGTTCTTCCCCCAGGTGGCAGAAGTACTGCAAGTCCTCCAGGTAAGAGCAGGGACCTCCCGCACGGAGTGGGGGGCTGGAATCTGGGGGAATGATGTTGCCTTGGGGAAGTGGCTGCATTGCAGAGCAGCAAAGAATGAGCTTAAAAATGAGGAGGGGATGTGGTAGAAGTTACCATGGTGGCAGGATGAGGCGTGGGACTGATGGGTGAAGCTCTGGAGGGAGTTGCTCTGTAGGTTTGGATGAGAGGTTTGGCTGAGCCCAATTCTCCACATCCCCTTGTGCAGAACCCCCCGTCCAAATCCCACAGCCTTCCCAGGGACTTGTGCTGGGCTCAGGAAGTGAGTTTATATCTGGCTCTACCTTGTGCTCAAGAAGCTTTTCACAGCTGGGGAAGCCTTGCCAAAAATGCTCCTCCCGGCTGCTTGGCTTCCAAGGAAACGTGATTGGGGAGCGGGCCAAGGTGGAATTGCTGGAACTGGGATTTGGCTTTGTGGCTGGGCTGGTTTCAGCCTATTCCTTCAGATTCCTGGATGCAAACTGAATAAGCCTCTTTTCTTTCTCAAAGAATCTTTGGGTTCGTGGCCAAAAGCCAGACAGACTCGGAGAACCTGTGTCACCTGTTTGCAGAGTACGACACCGTGCAGCCAGTGTCCCTTGTCATCGACCTGCTCCGCCAGCTCCTGCCCAGCCCATAGGGACAGAATCCTGGGACCAGCTCAGGGCCAGCAGCTGCCCACACACTGCTGAGCTTCTCCTGCTCCCCTTCTCCTGCTTCTGGGTTGCATTGGCAACAGCATGTATTTAGACTTTTTTGTTATGCACCATCACATCAGGAGTCTCAGCTAAAGACGTTCAGCTCTGGGATGAGATGCTCCTCCGAGCCTCTCCGTGGGGCACTGGCTGCCCTGGGGAAAGGACCAGAGCTGCCCAGGAGGGACAGCTCTGCTCTCTATGGGACCACTGTCCCTCAGCTGGACCATCTGCTCTGAAGGACCACAGTGTTCTGGCCGGGGTGTCTATCAGCCGTGAAGTCCCCTGTTCTTGGGGTGTCTGGGCTGGGGGAGGTCATTGAGCTGAGCTGAGCTCCCACCACTGGGGACACAGCCCTGATGCCCCAGTGCTGCGAGAGGAAATGTCTGGGGGAGGAATCACCCCCTGAGCAGCACAAAGAGGCAGCTTTGCAAATCAAAGTGTATAAAATTACTAAGTCCTGCTGGAAACCTGCTTCCCCCAAGGAGCAAGCAGCATCCACAGGCAGGAATGACGAAGCAGCGCATTTTTCCTGGTGCTGGGAAATTCTCCTGCCCTTTTACGCAGCGCGGGGTTGCGGGCGGGCTCGACCTCCCAGCATTGCGGAGAGCTGGGAAATAAATGGTGACATTTTCATGACAGTGAAACATCGGGTTTTTGGAAATGACTTGCCTGAATTTGGGCCGGATTCTCAGATGACGTAAATTGGCAGGGCCTCGAGGAAGATGGTGCTGCAATGATCTGCAGCAGCTGAAGGGTCAGTTCGTGCTGTAGCTCAGAGCAGAAAGTGGCTCTGAGGACACCACGCTCTTCTCTACCTTGGTTCTCAATTGGTGGCTCTGTGTTGGTTTAATTTTGTCCCTATGTTAACAAACCCTCTCGGGGTGTTCTCAATAAAGCAATAGAACATTTATCCTGCCACAGGCACCACAGGGATGGCAGCAATGGAGACACTCACTCTGATCCTGAACAGATGCAGCCATGGCAGAGTCCCTCTGCTCCAGCCAGGCTGTGGAGCAGGTCCAGCTGCAGCCACTCTTGGCAATGACCAAACCAGATATTGGAGTCATTGCGGGGGGAGCAGTGTCTCCCCAGTCCTTCCACCCTAAGCTCTGCTCGGCCACAACCCAGCACTGCAGGGTGGGCTCAGGAGCTGGTGCCCAGGGGATCCAGGTGCCTCTGCTGTCCCCACTGTCCTGCAGGAACCAGGAGGCTGCAGCTCCCCAAGGTCACAGGCAGCTCGGGCTGTGGGACCTCAGCCCTGAGACCCTGGGGCAGCTCCGGGACCCCCAGAGCTGGACTCTCTAGTGGTTATCAGGTTGCTGGTCAGGATCAGCAACTGGGAATGGGGACAGGCAAAGGCTTTGGCTCCATGGTGCTTTGGGGAGTCGTGCTGCATCCCCCCAAGCTGGCCAGCCCTGGTAGCCATCAGCACGAGGCCAGGGCAAGGGGCTGGGCTCCAGAAGCGCTGGTGTCAGCCCTGGTCCCAGTGGCCGATCCCCCGTGCCAGCAGATTCCTGGGCTGTCTGTATTGGCTGCAGCCACCTCCAGCCCCGACCCAGTGGAGTTTGTACAACACCAGCACCACCAGCTGCCTGGCTCCAGTAACCAGAGCATCAGGCTGGCGCCAGCCCTGGATGGCACTGCCAGCCCTGGGAGCCACCAATGGGAGTCAATGAACTCCTGGCCCATGACCCCTGGCAGCACTGGCTGCAGGCACTGGGAGAGAGCCAAGCCATGACCCGGAAGTGTGAGGCTGTCTCAATTCCTGTGTCTGGGCATCTCCCATCTGCATCCTGACACCGTCCCAAAACACCAAGGGGGGCTGGAGATGCCCGGTGCACCCTGGCACCACCAGGGACCCGCACATGTGCCTCGGGCTGTGCCTTGTCAAGGCCAGCAGCACTGCCTGGCCACGAGCCCGTGGCCCTGGAGCAGCCAGTGCCTGTCCCTGTGTGCCCCTGAACTTTGAAGCCAGTCCAGGGTCCCCTTTCCAGCCTGGCGCCGTCTCCAGCCCTGTCGCTGCTCCAGGCGCTGTGCAGGGCCGACGGTGACGATCTTCCCGGTGGCACCAGTGGAGACACTGAGCTGGGAGTCATGAGGAAGCAAGATAAAATTTGTTTCCCACCCCATTCCCGCTCAGTGAAATTCTTCCAGAGACTTGTGGGCTCCTGGGTTTCCGGGTCTGCTGAACCCCGAACTCAGTGCAGGACCAGGGAACCAGGTCCTTGGGCAGAGGTGGTGACCAGAGTTTGTCCCCACACCAGTGGGATCCCACAGCCCCCTCGCTCCTGCTCTGCCTCCCCTCCCTCTTCTCCCATAATTTAAAGCCATAAAAGATAAAAACACACTCAATAGAAACACGTCAAATAACGGGAAATTAAATACAGTAATTACCTTTTTTGAGGATACAAAGGTTCAAGTGTACTGTAAAAGGTCGGTGCTACACGGGAATCTGATGGGACGGGCTTGGCCCGGGAGGGACGGACAGGGACCCCTTGGGCACCAGGGGACACGCTGGGGGTGGGGGACACTGGTACATGGTCGTGTGTAAATACAGCCCTAAACTACAGGAGAGACGCTACGAAACGCTGGAGCCCTGGGAGCGGGACACAGAACGTGCCCTGGTGCATCAGCATTGCCAGGAGCCCCCGAAACAGGAAAGGTCCTGCTGGACCCACCCTGGTGCACATGGGGAGTGGCCAAGTGGCCGAGGCCACCAGGCTGGCACTGCCACTGCACTGTGTCCTGCTGTGGACAGGGGGCACTGGCACTGGGACTGGCCTCGGGAATCTCTTCCTTGGTGCAGTGCCTCTGAGGGGCTGAGGGGTGGCAGGGGCAGGGACCCCCCTCCTCACCGAGGATTGTCCTGGCAAATTGACTCAGTTTAGAAGTTGTGTGTGAGCAGGGCCACGGGCAGGCAGGGATCTGGCAGGGCACAGGGCAGGCAGGGCATCAGGAGGGCAGAGGTTGTTTCACTAAAACTGAAACACTTCATTCCCATTGGGGGGCCTTGGACAGGACAAATCCACATGGAAAACCAAAACCTACCACTAAGGCCATGGAGCCAGAGGGTGAGTCAGGAGGGGACTGGGGAAGTCCCCTCTGTCTTTGGCACACTTTCCATGGCATTTTTATGTGAAAAATTTCCATCCCAGCTTGAAGAAAAGCAGGTATGAAACCAGTGACAATTTCTCAACTGAGAACTTCGTTCTGGTGAAATCTGCAGATCCCATCATGGGGACATTCCAGAATCCATTTTTCACATTAGCCAAGAAGAGAAGACAGGAGCCATCACTGCATTGCCCTGGTCCTTGGGGATGGAGAATTCCAGCCTCGGGGCCACAAAGTCACTTATTAGATCCCACCAACGACATTTTTTAAATACTAAAAAGTTTGGGGAAGAAATCAAAAACTCAAACCAAAAGAAGTTCTTCCCCCTGGGATATGTTTCCTGGGCATCTCTCACACCTCCACCCTCCCCTCAGTGCTGCTAGCCTGGGGATCCTGACTCCCTCACTCCAGGATGGAGGAGGGGGAGACGAGATGGATGGGAGGCTTTGTCCCTGCACAGGGAGTGGGATGGGGCTGGGCCATGGGGAGGAGGTCCCGGGCTGCGGGGCTAGGGGGCTGCAGCAGGGAGGGGGAAGGTCTCTTATTGCTCTGTGCGGCCACACTGCCCTTCACACTAACACACTCGGGGTGGGATGCAGGTGAGGGGGTTTCTCCAGGTCCCCCAGTCCTTGCTTGGGCAGCCTCTCACCACCAGGGAGGGCAGGATGAGGCACTTCTGCTGCTGCCCGTGCAGAGGTCTGGCATGGAGGGCACTGAGCTACAAATATGATGCTGCCACCCATACCTCCCAAGGTGCCAGGTGTCCGAGGTTACCTGCAGGGCCAGGCTGAAAACCTGGGGGTACCACGGGGCAGCAGCAGCAGCATCGATGCCCCCCCCACCCCCCTCCACCCAGGCAGCCCAACCCCAGTCCCAGGGCAGCATCATCCAAGCTGTGTCCATGTGGGATGGCAGTGCCGCTGGCACGTGCTGGGACCCCTGGCAGTGGCTGATAGTGGTCATGGCGCAGGCGGCAGTGCCGTGGGCAGCCCATGGCGCAGGGCACAGTGCGATCCGCGGGGTCCCCCGGCTCCAGGGCACTGCTCAGCAGTCACGTCCTCTCTCCTTCTCTCCTAGGCAGCCCCGGCGGGGGTCCTGGCCCTGCACGGCGCGGGGCCACCGCGGTCACGCTCACATGCTGTCCGCCAGCTGGTGACAGTCCAAGTCTCCCTTCAGCTCCAGGAAGCCCGGCAGCTTCACCCCCGTCTTGCGGTCCACACACCAGCACTTGCCCCGCTGCCCATCCAGGGCTGGGTGACACTGTGGGGATGGGTTTGGTCAAGGACACCCAGCCTGGACCCCATGGCCATTCCCAACCAGGAGCTCTAATAGGGGCTTTACCATCCCCATCCCACCCCCGGGCTTTTGCAAAGGGCCCCCGGCACCCAAAGGGTGATTCCCACCAAAGCCAGGAACTAGGCAGGCTCTGCCGTGCCTTGTCACTGTCCCCTCCATCCATGTCCCCCTCCCTGGCTCTACAAAATCCCCCCCCAGTGCCCTGTGATAGGTCAGAGCCCATCCTACCTGCTTGGGGTGGAAGTTGCCGTTGCGGTCGCAGTTGGGGATGGGGATGACATACAGGTCCTCGTGTGTCCGGGTCTGCGAGGCTGCCAGCCTCTCCAGCGCCCGGTGCAGCTCGCTCTGGCACGAGCCCTGCGCCTGGGGAAAGGGTGGGCTGAGCTGGTCACAAGGCTGGCACATGCTCCTGGCCCAGAGACCCAGAACCCCGACCCTGGAGCACCCACCCTGCCCTCCCCAGCCCTCCCTGTGCTCACCATGACCCGCGTGTCGTCGCGGTGGTGAGGGCTCCCGCTGCTGCGCATCTTGTTGCCGTTGTTGACCCTCTTCGCCTGCTGCTTCTGCAGGCACTTGCGGTCGTGGATGCTGCAGGGGCTGAAGCTGTTGTTGGGGTGGTCAATCTCCTCCTTCTCTGCAGAGACACAGACCAAGGGGGCTCAGTGCCACAGGGCAGCCCTGGAGGTGGCAGAGTGCCCCCGTCTCCACAGTGCCACTTGCACCCCAAGGAACAACATGCAGTGGTTTCTGGCAGGCCCCACATCACCGTCTCTGGTCCCTACAGGCATCACTCACAGCCCTGGGTCCATCCTGCCCCTGCCGCTGAACTGAGCTGAGCTCCCTGCAGCACTGGGAAAGACTCCTGGGAGTTTTTCCTACTCATTAGCCACGACTAACAACTTGTTGCCATGTGTCTGTTATTGTAGGGTCACAAATGCATGCTGCGAGTGCTGGGCAGTGGCTCCAGTGTGCTGGGTCTGGCTGTGCCCTTGCCAGCCACGTGTCACCTGGCACCAGGTGCTCACCCACAGCGCTGGAGCTGCAGGCCTGGAAGCTGACCCGGGGACACAGAGACAATGAGCTCCAGGACACCCCCGGTGCCCCCCAAAATCTTCCTCGGAGGAGCTGCAGTGGCAATGGGGGCACTAGGGCGGTGCTGAGCCCCCGCCAGGCCCGGGGCGGCACCGGGCGCCACGGCCGGGAGTGGAGCCGTGCTCTGCTGCGGGGCACGGCCCCCGCCAAGACATGAAAGAAGAAATTCCTGGAATAAGAAAGTTAATCTCCCGCGGGGCCGATCCCAAAAGGCGGCACTTGGCATCTTCGCCTGAGCCAGGAGCGCAGCCAAGCTGCCGGCCCAGATGTTGGCAGCTGGACAGAGCGTCATGAGACGAGTGCTCGGCATGACTTTAGTTTTTAAAAAGCTGCCGGTTCCTCTGGTTTGGGGCTCGTAAGACTCTGTGAAGGGGGTACACCCCAGGAGCCAGGACTCCTCCTGTGTTCAGAGCTGTGTCAGGCACAGCCCGAGCAATGTTTTGCCCCTCAGTCCACCTGGGCTGTTCAGGGAAGTGGCTGAAGTTATCCTGGGGTTGGGCTTAAACGAATCAATATTGCAGCTGGCAGCAGGGAAAGCCTTCCCAAACCAGGCAGGGGGAGGTCACTGTCGGGGGGGTCACACCCAGGGGCTCACAGTGCTGGGACAGGGGCTGCTGGGTGACTCCTGGCACTGGCCCTTCCCACAGGCAGAGAGGTCGGAGCTTCCTGCCCACTGAATCCCCACGGCATCCCGGTCTTGATCTCCCACTGGCACCGCTTGCCACAATCCCTGCAGTGCAGAGCTCCTGACCCAGCTCCTGGGGGCCCGGTTAAAGTCCAGAGCGAACCTCAGTCAAAGCCCCCTCCCTCGTGGGTGTTATTTGTTTTTTGCTTAATCTGTCCATTTTTTCCAGGAAATAGCTCATGCCCTTGAAATTTGAAACACAAACCCAAAGTCTCCAGGACCCTGCACAGAGCGGTGCCAGCGCCAGCCCCGGCGGCACCAACCATGAGGCTGTGGCGCAATGCAGGCGCTGGTGGCAGAGCCCTGCCAGGGGCACGGGGGCTCTGGAACGATGCTCCTTCCCTGTGGGCAGACACACAGGAAGAGCCGGGCAGATTTGGCACCGGTGGGGACCACCATGCCAAAGTTCCGGCACCTCCATGCGCTGCTCCCACGCCATGGAAAGGCAGGACCGGGAGGCACCGGCGCTGCCCGCACTGCCCCCGCAGGGGAAGCCCTCACCGATCGCCGGCACAGCCAAGCCCTCCTCCTCCCTCCCGCCAGCCGCCTCCAGAGCATCAAATCTCCCGGCTTAAATAAAACCAGATGCCAATAACATTTTCATAAGGTCACATGAAACGCCGGTGCCTCCGAGCAGCGAGGCGGCTCCTGACAGCACTCGGGACCCGCGGTCCGCGGCTCTCACGGCAGCTCCAGCATCCGTCCCTGCCACACGGATCGCTGCTGTCCTTGGGGTTACTGTCCCCCTGCTAAGTGACACACAGTAGCTCAGGGAATCTCGCGCCTCCCTGGAAATCCGACTGGACCAGAAAACTCACCCTCAGCAGACAAAGACTTGGGGAAAGCAACGTATGTGGAGCCCAGAGCTGCCATGCCCCACACTGCCCCACCTATGCGTGGGCACCACCACCCTGGAGGGATGGAGAGTAGGGAGGTCCCGATTTGGCCAAGGAAAGCCTCTCTGCTCACTTTGGATTGGAAGTGAGTGCCAAGGGGATGGGAAGGGGTGCTGCCCTAGCCGGGCACATAAAACAGCCGCCTGTCCCGGGAGGAGGAGGATTCCTGCCCAGGCTGTGGACAGGGGACACAAACGAGTCATTCAGCATCGCCTTCAATTAACGGGAGCTGCAAATGAGGTTGGTCACGTGCCGAACTTGTGATTCACAGCGCTGAGCCCGAGGGAGCGGTGAAGGGCTGCGGCTCCACCGCGCGGATCCCGTGGGAGCAGAGCCTGGGGCAACCAGCAAAGCCCTGGGACCTCGTGTGTGTGTCCATGGGGACAGACAAGTGTCATTGACCTCCACAGCTCCAGCCCTGCTCCTCTCCGTTCCACCAGCCCCATGAACGAAGGACCTCATATGCCTCAAAGGCCAGAAGGGACATCCACGTGTCTGTGGCCAACATGGCACGAGCCACAGTGAGCCCCAGCACCCTCCATGTCCCTGTCCAGCACCCCCAAGTGTCACCTGTGGGTGGTCCTGGCAGGACCGTGGCACTGCTGGCTCTTGGCTTCCTGGGCTCTCGACTTGGCAGGCACCAGCACTGGGAGGGGCATGCTCTTTTTGCCAAGTGCTGGCTCTGGCAGAACTTGGGGAGCCAGGGATGGGGGTGGCAGGGGCGCAGACACCAGGCACCTACTGCCCTTTGTTCTGGAATGCCAACTGGGAGCTTGGCCTGTCCCCATCCCTGGACACATTACCGTGCTCAAACACGGCTGAGCACCTCCCACCTCAGTGCTCAATGTGGGACGGAGGGAGGGGAGGTCAAGATGCAGGACAGGGAGTGAGGGATAAGATGCAAGTGATTCCCCAGAAGGACCGGAACCTTGCCAGGAGCAGCACCCAGCCTGGAGAAGCCTAAGCGTGGATGAGCCCTCACCCCAGGGGACAAATGGGACACGGTTGAGCCTTGCCTAGTGGAACCCAGCCTGTCCTCCCTGCTTGTGCACTGTCCAGCCATGGCTCAGCCACCACCATTCCTGCCAGTCACTGCACATCGAAAGGAAACCGGCTCTGTCCCAGCTTACAGAGACCACATGGGACGAATGCAGCTCCCATGGGTCAGGTTTTCCCAGACATAATCATTTACCCAACACTAAATCACTCATCATGTGTGCTGGGGAATATGTCCTCACCTCCTCCTGGCTGCCACACACGGGCTCAGCCACCACCACCCGCCGGCTGTGACGGAAAGCCACGGCTTGGACCTTTTGGAGCCGGCCCCTGCACAGGGCTCTGGCCAAGGAATGGGATCCCAAAGCCAGCCCCGAGCTGGCAGGGCCGGGAGAGGGTGGCAGGGACAGGGTCCAGCAGCAGGTGCCCAGACCCGCTGCCATGGAAGACGGTCTCGAGTCAGGAGAGCAGCCACTGCTCCCTCACTTCCTAAGAGTCACATCCCGTGGGTGCCACAGGTCCTGGGTGAGCAGGGAGGCTTTTCCTGGCTATGGAGCCGGGAGCCATGTCCAACTGCTCAGAAAGCCCAGCCTCAGCCCAGCCCCCTGATCCAAGCCTCTTCCCTGGAATGCGGAGCCCCCCGGACAGAGCCCCCAGACAAAATGTTTACTGTACGAGCCGCGCGTTAACCGCTTCCCACCCGCTCAGCCCCGGGCACAGCCGGGGGCACCTGCTCCGTGCGCCCCTGCCCCTCAACAGGCATTTAATTCCCTTCTGCTCATCCCGAGGGGACACATCAGAGGCACTGGCCATGCCAGGGTGCCCTCGCTGTGCCAGGCAGGGCAGTGTGGGCGTGAGGGAGCCTGCAGCCCCCAGCCCCACACTCCCACTGTCCCCAGGCTGCGGAACAGGTCAGGGACCCGCGGGGGGATGTACCACTGGGACTGCATCGAGCAATTTGCTGTGGGTGTGCTGCCCACATCCTGATGGGCTGTCCTGGACACAAGGGCTCCTACTGCCCTCTTGCCCATCCTGCTGCCTGTAATGCCGCTGGCTAGCACAGTGCTGCTGGCTAGCACAGTGCCCGGCGGGCGACCCGGCTCCCATAGCCACCCACCCATCCCCAGCCAAGCCAAAACACCGCGGGAAGGAAGGGAAAAAATGCAAGTCTGTTTCCTAAAGGCTCTGGGAAAAAATGTTGCATTACACGGGGCACGGCCAAAACCAACAGGGCTTGGCAGCACGGCGCAGCCCCGGGCCAGGGAGCCCAGACAGCTCCTGCAGGATGTGGGATGAGGACAGACAGGCAGGATAGGGGGGCTCCAAGCACTCCCAGCCAGCTCCTGTCCCTGCAGGGGGGTGGGTAGAGGGGCCTATCCATGAACGGCACTCATCACAGAGGGGACACCAGATCTGCCATGGATCAGACATGCAAGGAGGGAGTGGAACTGGGATCCAGCCCCCGGATAGGCAGGGACAAACACTGCTCCAATCCCTTCTGCCCCTCAAGGAGCTCCAAGTGATCCCGCGTGGGGACCCAGGGTCAGGCCAGACCAGCTAGCAGATTGTTCTGGGATGATAGTCCCCAGCTTCAGAGGACATGATCCTGGTCACAGCCTGTAGGATGGGAAAGGGGGATCACCAATGGACCAGGTCCCCACATTCATTCCCTGGGAGCAGCCTCATTCCTATGGTGCGACTTGCACAGCTCTGGGGTGGGTTCCCACTGCCGGCTCTGCTCCCAGACCCCAGATCCTGCCCGAGCACCAGGGGCGTGGCAGAGGCCACGATCACCACCTGCAAGGCAGACAGAGCACACACCGGCATCAGCTCCTCCAGCCTGGCCCTGCCCGCACCCCGCTGCCCTGTCCGGCACAGACACACACAGCTCCCACACCACGCCCGGCTGGACCAGCCTGGAGGGAAGCAGGTGCCCCGCGGCCTCTCTCCTGTTTCCTCCCGGCAGATCTGCCAGCAGCATCCCAGGGAAGCAGCAGCGCAGGGGTCACTGTGCAACGGGAGCTTCCCTGGCAGCTGGGATGTGTCCCCAAGGGCTGCAGGTGCTCGCGGGACACTGGGCTGTCCCACGGTCCAGGGGCACGTTGCAACCAGGGCACAGCAGGTGAAGGTTCACCTCTCCAGCACATGCGGTGCCAGCGGCTGTGACACTGCTGTGCCCACGGTGGGTAAGGATGGCACAAACGTGAGCCACTTGTACCAGGTCTCCTGCAGCCTATCTCTGCTCCCTCCCTGGAACATGCTCCCTGCATTCCCATCCTGTGCTGTCCCATCCCATCCTGCCTCTTAGAGTCATGGAATTGTTTGGGACCTTAAAGACCACCCAGTTCCACCCTCCTGCCATGGGCAGGGGCACCTTCCACCAGACGAGGTTGCTCCAAATCTCATCCCACCTGGCCTTGAACAATTCCAGGGATGGGGCATCCAGAAATATTCTGGGCAACCTGTGCCAGAGCCTCACCACCCTCACAGGGAGGAATTTCCTCCTAACATCTAATCTAAATCTTCCCTTTTTAATTTAAAATCCTTCCCCTTGCCCTGTCACAATCTATCCGAGTAAAAGTCACTCTTCATCATTTTTATCAGCTCCCTTTAAGTATGAGAAGGTCCCTGGTGAGTGCAGTCCTGTGGCCACAGCTCTTGCCAAGTGAGCAGGGAGTGGGTTGGTGCCAACAGGGGTTATACCACTGTCCCTGTGAGGGACAAGGACCCCCAGGCACCCACCCAGGGTACCCACCCTGGGCACCCACCCTCTGCCGCCCCTCCGCCACCTCACCTGGGGGCTGGAGGCTCTCCTGGATGGCCTCGACGTCGGCCAGGTCTGTGCAGATGCCCTGGCCGTGCATGAGGGTGCGGAGGGGCCGGGGCTCGCCGCGGGGGGGGTAGCAGCGCAGCCCCGCACCGCAGCGCGCGGTGTAGACGCCGCAGGCGGTGCCGCGGGGCAGCGCGCAGGTCGCGCAGCACCCGCAGCCCGGCTCCCGCACCAGCTCCGCGCAGCCCTGCGGAGCCTTGCACCGCGCCAGCCGCTCCTCCGAGCACGGCGGGCACTGGATCGCCTCCTCGCCGCTGCCCGGCCGCGCCGCCGCCGCCAGCAGCGCCAGCACCACCGGCAGCACCGGCAGCCCCGGCCCCGGGCGCATGGCGGCCCCGCTCCGGCCCCGCTCCGCGGCGCTCGGCTGGCGGCGGGCGCGGGGCGGCGGCGGCGGCTTTATGCGGCTTTATGCGGCCCCTGGCCACACCTCCCGCCGCCGCCACCGGGGCCACCGGCGGGGCCGCCCCCGTCGCCACCGGGAACCCACCGGGCAGCGACGCTCCCCCCGTGTGTGTGGCGGCGGCCACACCGGCACCGGCGGTGGCTTCAGCAGCGGGGCCACCGGCGGGGCAGCTCCGGTGCTGGGCAGCGCGGAGAGCCAGCCCGGAGCCCCCGGCCCCGCGCCACCCACCCGAATCACCCGCCTCCTCCAGCCCTGCTCAGTCCCGAGAGCAGCTAGGATGAACGGGGAACACACACACCGTGCGGGGCTGCAGCGCGGGGAATGCAGCCAAGACCCCCGGAGTGGGATCGGGTCGCCGGGTCTGGGGGGCCCCGGCGGGAGGAAAAGTGCTGCTGACAACGGAGCATCCCGTGCGGCTCGGCCCCGGTGTGTCCGGGACGGCCCAGGGAGGCCCCGCCGGCTCCCCGAGCCCACCTGCCCCCGGTTCCGCACCCGCGGCCCCCGCGCCCCCCGCGCCTCACAGCCCGGGATAGGTTGAAGGCTGCCGGCACCTAGTGGCTACTCGGGAAAAGAGGGAGCGGGCGGAAGCCCCGGCTGCCTCCTGGGACCCCGGTTCTGTCAGTCCCCGCAGCACCGGGGGAGGGCGAGAGTCCAGGAGAAGGCGTGGAGCAGGCTCTGTGCCCGGGGGATAGTCCCTGAGCATCACCCGGAGCTGGTGGCTCCCGAGCTGCGCCCTGGGGCATCTCAGTCAACATCGGGTTCGTGGGCAACCTGTCTGGATGTGGTAAGGGGTTCGTGGGCACTGCAGTGGGGTCTTGGGCACAGCACGGGTGTCTTCGATATAGCAGGAGGCCCGGGTGTGGGGGTCAGTGTAGCGGGTGGGACAAGGGGAACAGAGCTGCCTGTCAAGCAGGGCCTGGGCTGAGAACCCTGAATTCATCTCATGAGTGAGTACATCTAGTGCTTAAACTGGCATTTTGAGGCTTGAGTGACAGCACAGGTGGCATTGCCACCAGAGCTCTCAAGATCATCTTCTCTCCCCGTGCAGGTGAGTTGTGCATCACCAAGTGCAGGCAAGACAGGGGCAAACATTCCCCCACACCCCCAGCCCCACAAGGCACTGTCACACAGCACTGCTCTGAGCCCCTGTCTGCCTGGCACTGCTGCACAGTGGCCGTGACTCGGGGCAGAGGCACCAGCCTTGACTCAGTGTCCCAGCAGAGACCAAACCCAAACAGGTGCCCAGCCCCACTCAGGCTGTGGCACCTTATCAGGCCCTGGCAGCACTGAGTGCCCGTCAGGGACACTGTTGTGTCTGCGGGCAGAGGCAGCACAGGGGAGGACAGTGTTCCCTCACCTCTGCCCAGGCACTGCTCCTCCAGGTCCCTGTCCCAGCATCATCCTGTAAAACAGAGTGGGGCTGGCTGGTACCCCCACAGTTGTGCTGTCCCTACCCCAAGCACAGCTCTGAGGCCATGCAGGGGCTCAGTGCTGGTGTTTGGTGCCCAGTGTAGCCCAGGTCCTTGCCTGGGACAGGCCTATGCCCCCCAGTCCTTAATGGAGGGCTCTTCGGGATTCCTGGGGCTGTGGGAGTCCAAATTGGCTGCTGCTCCTCAGCCACACGCCCCAGCAGGGTCTGGAGCTGCCCCAGCCCTGGGGAGAGGTTGCAGGCTGGCTGGAGGCAGGAGCAGGAGGGGATTGGGGGTCAGAGAGGGCTGTAGCCCCCCAGCTGAGGGTGGTTCTGATGAAACCAGTGAGAACCTAGGCCCTTTGAATGTACTTTGGGACACTTTTGGGACTCCAATACCTCCTCTCTCCAGGCACCAGAAGCAGCACAGACCTCCGGGAGGACCTGCAGCCAATGCCCTCCATTCTCAGCCAGCCCCTTCCTCCGCTGGATTTACTCCCCATTTCCAGGCAGCTTCTCCTCCCCAGCCCTCCCTCGCATCCATTCTGGCATCTCCTCCTGGCCCTGGCTCCCTTCCCGTGGTTCCCACTGCCCTCCTCTCCACGGGCTGGCAGGACAGACGGTGACCTGGCTGTGTGGGTGCTCAGCACCCGCCGGATGCGGTCCGTGGGGTGCGGGTGTGGGGCGGGCAAGGGGCGTGTCGGGGGCCGCTGATAACAGCGGGCGCCGTGCCGGGACCGCGGGACCAGACGGCGCAGGCGAGTGGGATGAGCCAAGGACCCCCATCCTGGGCAGCCAGGCTCCGAGGCAGTGGAATGGGGTCCAGCAGCCTCCTGCGACTCCTCCGCACTCTCTGCATCGTCTCGGTGCTGGCCGGGTGCCTGCACCCTGCCACGGCCCAGTGGTTTTCCCTGGGCTCAGAGGACACCACCCCGGATCCAGGCACCAGCCCCACGCCCCGCACCCTGGATGAGGATGAAGGTAGGCTTGGCGGGATGGGGACATGGCTTTTTCAGCACCCCAAATTCCTGCACCTCAGCATGGAGGGTGATGTGTGGGGTGCCAGGGTCTAGGGCTGCTGGTGGCACAGCTGTGGCCGTGGGAGGTACTGGGAACTGGGAGTGCTGTACCACCCTGGTCCTCCTCCAGTCCTGCCACCTCCCATCCCAGCGTTCCTTTGCTCCTGCAGACACAGACGCCAGCGTGGAGCCCGTGGGGAAGGTGCTGCTGAGCAAACCTCCTCTGGCAACAGCCCCTAGACGCCGGGACCAACCCTCCAAGGGGGCAGCGAAAGGGTCAGGCCATGCCCCGCCGCGCACACGAGGCCAGGTGCTTTTTCCCGGGCAGTGGCCCCCTTCCGGCTCCTCCAGCCCTCCCGAAACTCCCCAGCTGCTTCCAGGCTCCTTCCTGCCCTGCTTGCACACACCGGCCCGGGCACCGCGCCCTGCTCCAATCCCCAGCGCAACTCTCAGCTCCTTCTGCTCCCTTGGAAATAAATCAGTTGGGCCCCGACGTCGAGCTGAGAGCAACCCCGACTGGGGGAGGGTCCCACCTGCCCCCTAGGATCCCCCCGAGCCCTGCACTGAGAATTCCCTGTCTGTCCCAGCAGCACCGACCCACGACCGCCCCGGAGAACTTTGAGGGGAGCGCAGTGGAAGAGGAGTTCCTGCAGATCCAGGTGGTGGAGGGGTCCTGGTCGCTGGGGAGGTGTCAGGGACAGCCTGGGATGGACACCTGGGCAAGGGGCTCCGGAAGACACGGGCTGGCAGGACGGGACGGGATGGGAACGGAACGGTGAGAGTGGGGAATGGGGATGCCGCTCAGGGATCTCGCACTCAGCCCCTCCTCTCCTCCAACAGACGACGGCCAAGGGGCTGCCCCGGCGGGTCCCGCCGGCCCCGGAGACGGACCCAGCCCTCCAGGTGAGAGGTGGGCGTGGGGCACTCGTGTCGGACCCATCAGTCGGGGCTCCGGTCCCGCGGCTCATCCCTCTCTCCTTGTCCAGGTGCACAACATCTCCGGCTGTGTCTGCCCCGTGCGCCCCGGCCCTCCCGGCCCCCCCGGCCCAAAGGTGCGGTGGTCCTCCCACAGGAACACACTGTGCGAAATCCTGATGGTCTTTTTTCTGTGCAAAACCCTTTTTGCTGAGGATTTGGACTCTAACTTTGGGGTCTGGGTTGAGAAGTGACTCAGATAACCCCAGGGAGGGAGTCAGCAGGTGCCCGTGGTGGGCTCCAGCGGAGAAATGTGCCAGAAGGTGGAACCAGGCTCTGAATTTCCACAACAGGGAGAGAAAGGTGACCGAGGGTTCCCTGGAGAGAGAGGACAGCCCGGATTCTTAGGGGAGAGAGGGAAGTCCGGCAGCCCAGGACAGCCAGGACACCAGGGTCCCCGGGGCCCTCCGGGTCCTCCAGGACCACCGGGGCCCCCGGGACCTCCGGGCGCCTGGGGAGGCCGGGGCCCACCCGCGCCCGCTGCACTCCCTGAGAGATCAGAGAACGAGGTGAGCACCGGAGCAGGAACAAAGCTGATGCCGGTGCTGGCCGCAGGGTCCCCTGGCGGGGATGGGGACATGTGGCTGTGTGGGTGGGCAGGGGGTCCAGGGGATGGTATAGCAGCTCATTGACTCTGCTCCCTTCTCCTCTCTCCCTCCAACCTGACAAGCAGCAGGGAGTCTCCAGCCCTGTGGGAAACCCAGGACCCCCAGGTCCCCCCGGGCTGCCCGGCATGCCCGGACCCCCTGGCTACCCAGGCCACGATGGCCCCCAGGGGGCCCCTGGGCGGGAGGGAAAGCCAGGACCTCCAGGCCCCCCAGGAGCCGTGGGGCCACCTGGTTTTCCTGGGGCTGAAGGACTTCCAGGGTCTCCAGGCTCAGCTGGGCCAGATGGACCCCCAGGGGCACCCGGACTCCCAGGGCCTCAGGGTCCCCCCGGGGTACCTGGGCACGAAGGACCTCCCGGTCCCCCAGGATCTGCATCACTCCCTGGCAAACCAGGCCTCCGAGGAGAGCCAGGATTCCCAGGACCAAAGGTAAGGGGGTTCCAGCCCAGCCTGTCCATGGCCCTGGGGTGGGGTACCTGGGCTCACCAGCCCCTCACCCTGCCCTGGGGACCAGCCCCATTACCAAGCTCTCAGAGCACTCCAGGGGTGTCCCAGGACTGCCCCAATCCTGCTACTGTGGAGCCCGCGGGAACACAGGGGCTCAAATCCACACTCACCACCCTGTGCCATCTGCCATCAGGGTGAGAAGGGCGAGTATGGGCTGCCAGGCATGCCGGGGAGCCCTGGCCGGACCGGAGAGCCGGGGTCTCCGGGCATGCCCGGTCCCATGGGACCACCAGGACCACCAGGGGACTACAGGGTGAGTAGGGGGCCCCAGGCTGTGGGTCCTAGGGAGGGGGCACCCCAGTGTCACCCCACACATCCTGTCTTTGCAGTGTGACTCACGCCACGCTGGACACCGTGGGTTGGCTGGGCTGACGGGCCCCAAGGTGAGCTGGGCAGTGGCACCATTTGG